TGCTCTATGGTGAAGTCAGGAAGGCAGGAGGAGTTGCAATTTTGCAAAAGAGCTGAACTCTACGCTAGCAAATATTTTGCAGGGATTACTTTTAATTGAAAGGGAGTGGGATCATCTTCTTCCATTATACTGCTGAAACGCTATTTTAAGGAGGTACACAATTGTTGCTGGCAAAAGAAGGACTAAATTGCTGTCAGTTGCTCAGAAAATGTGGAGCTGTACATGCTTGAGATGGTTAATCTCTCCTGTCTTTTCTGCCTGCCCAGCATTCATCTCTGCATTACGCAATTACACACAAAGCCTGGTGTTGCTGAACAGTTCCTGAAAGATGTCAAAGACAGCATTGAGGACATCATGAAGGATCTCAATGCCAAGACCACAGGGATGGTAAGGAGGCCAGCCATAGAGTGTGAGGGTATGTTTGGGTGAGTGTGATTCTCTGATGGCATTAGCAATCCTATGTAACAACCTTCTCTTCTCTGCTTAGGGAGCCATCTACGGAATGGCCCAGTCCGTCCCAGACAGGAGCTTGGTAGCAGAGATTTCTCAGGCATACTTGGATGGTCTCTACAGCACGGATGTTCTTTGCAGTGAAAAGCACATGAATGGCTCCCCCAGCCACCACTGACTGTAGAGCAACAATTGGTGCCTTGCCAACTAGCACTGGGGTGGTTCTGAAGGTTTCCTAGGGGAAGAGATTGCAGTAAGCCTTTGTTCCTACAGTTGCAGGTCTGATGGTGGCTTGATCTTGGAAACTTCCCCATCTTAGTCTGTTTTGAAATCTGCATTATTTTCATGCCTGACTTTAGTTTTAGGGCTTTTCCTCCTTTCCCTCTGCTTATTTTCATCATAATTATTGATAGTAAATTGAATGTCCATTCCACAACTCCAAATTCCTCAGGTATTCTGCATGTCACTTCATTCCTTGCTCTTTCTTCTTCCTCAGACCTGGTATTCAGCTGATGACCAGCCAAGTGTTAGATTTGAGTTCTCATGTTGTGTTACAAAGCTTCAATCTTCTCAGAAGTTAAAGATAGAAAATAAATTGAAAATTTTGTTTTCTTTTGAGTATTCCTGCAAGCTACTGCATTTAACAGACTGTGCTGGAAGCCTTTATATCTATAATAATGCAGAGCTGATAAACTGGCAAAGGAGAGATGGTCATATACTCTTTTTGAAATCCTCTCTAGAGATCTCAGTGAGACTGCAATCAATATCTGCCGAGAGGGGGAAAAGTACACAACACAAAATCCTTTTCTCGAATCTCTTGGTTTATATAACATCAAAAATAGAAACCAAGCAGGTAGTGTAGGGAGAGGAACTAAATGGTACTGAAAATCCTAGGTACATAGTAACTGTTTTGCTTCCCTGCCTCCTCTAGAAGACATGCATTTACCACCTAGAGTGCTGTTGTACCTTGCACAATTCTGGAGGGATATGCAAAACAGTGATTTCACTGTTCATAACTTGAAGGTTTTGCACTATCTCACAATGCTGTCGTAGAGTCAGTCAGGCCCTGGCATGTGTCATGGCTATGGACTTCATGTGCAAACGGATGGCACCAAAGCTGACCTTTTTTTACCATGATCTTTTAGTATAAAAAGGTGACTTTTGTAACAGTAGTAATCTCTGCTCTTTGCACTGATTCTTTTAAGGCACATTCTCAAAAGGGCATTCACCATTGTGCCTTTATGCTTCTCTGGCTTTTTTTGTGGGATGCCAGGGAGGGTTTGAGGGTTCAGCTGTTGACCACAACCTTTGCTGTGGTCATTTCCTTATGGTACTATACTGAATAAAACCTCAAAGGCAAACTGGCCTCAGAGAAAGTTCTTGTCTATAAGGTAGAATATTAGTTGTATTGAGCCAAATCCCTTCACAGTATTATAAAAATGCTTGTATAGCTCTGAGAGGTAGATGTTAGATAGGATGCAGCAAGTTGGAAGTATTCAAGCCTTGGGCATGTGGATCACCCTTCCTATTTTTCTTCACTGTTTTCATGGTGAGAGAGTTTTCCCAGTGCAGCTTGTGAAGCACTTGTGGCCTTAAGGACAAGCAAGAAAAAAATCTCTTGAGTTATTAAACAGCAGAAGAGTTACTCCTGCAGGGCTTTCCCATGTGTTTCCTCTCAGCTTTTTGCATGCTACTGGGAGTTTCCCAGGCAGAGTTCAACACTTGGGAGAAGACTTTGTGCCATGTTTGCACAGACTTGTGTAGGGTGTCTGAAGGCATTTGTCTCTCTGCTATAGTGTTAGCCTGAAGCTGACCCTTGCTGGCTTAACATAGCTGAAGCACACACTGGTACAATAGTTATACTTAATAAGGTTACTAAGGTTACTTAACAAGTTGCTACACAAACCAGTGCAGCCTTGGGCCCAGTGACTGTGGGGAAAGATACTTGCTTTTTAACAGGTTTGTTCTCAGTGCTGGGAGACAAAAGTATTTTGGCCATCTGCCCTTAAATTGATGACTTTATGTATGTCTCTGAGCCCTTCTGAAAACATCACATTTGAATTGCCTGGTAGTCTCTTGATAGTGTTACCAGCTCTGCCTCAGCATTTATGTTGAACCTATTTATTCTATTAACATCTTGCTAATGTGACCATTACTGCATCTCTGAGTTTGCAGTACTCTGGGGACAGTTTTAAGTGTCTGGCTACTGTGATGGTTCTCTTTTGAACCGAGATTTAAAAAACAAAACAGAACAAAAAAGGGAGGTACTCTTTTTGTTTCTGCTTTAAAAGAAAGAGTGGATGGATTGGGCTAGGTGAAGGAGAGAGAAACTCCCTTCTCTTCCCCGGTTGCACCCTCCTCCGAAGTAGTAGGTGGATCTAACAGATCAGTGCTCCATTTCACATTTTTGGATGTATTTGAAGAAGTTATTTGTAAATCAATGTATGCTATTCCAGGCTTCACTTGCTGGTAGTATTTGTGGGTTTAATTGTTTTATGTGTATTTGTTCTATACTGTAATTGTAATCTTCTGATCAGGAATAGGCCACTGTAATTTACTGGCATGTAGTCTTTATTCATCCTTGTCATCTAACATGTAATCTGCATCTCCTTTATCATGCCAAGTGGTCTTAGAAAAATGGTGTGATTAAAAGGCTGCATAATTATTTAAAAGACCAAACAGAAGAATTTTATGGACTGGATTACGATCTGAAACCGGATGATGCTTTCAACCTGGAGGGGATCTTCGTGACTATTAATTCCTGCAAGATTTCTGACCTTCAGGTGCTCCAAGTCAGACACTTAATCTGTGCTTGTACAAAGCACTCCCAAGGGATTTTCGTGCTCTTAGGTACTAGACTGAAAAATATCCAATGGGATGGACCAAGAAGAGATGTATGTCTTCATGCCATGGATTTCATCTGCACTTTTCTGATGACTTGGGGAGAGGGGAGTGGAAATGTTGCCTGCAACACAATAATATCTTGCCCAGTAAATACACATTGACTTTTTAATGAACAAATGGGATGAGTTCATCTGATGGTAGTATTCTGTATTGCTCTAATTTGCCACTGTAAAACTTTAGGCTGAAATAGATGAAGATATTGTGAAAATGGGCCTAGTTTGTATTAAAACGGTGCATTTAGCTACTTAGGTTCATTGAACTCTTTATTTTTCCATTTTGATGCTCACTTGAAAGAATGGGGACCTATTACTCCTGCTCTTTGCTCATGCACAGTCTAGTCTGTTGCAGGGAGATCAGTTCATGAATGTTACGAACTCTGCCTGAGGGCTGCTTTTTCATTCTGTTAAGTTACAGGTGGTGTTCATGGCTATGTCTTGTGTCATGTTCAAAGATGCTTAAGTTGTCATTTAAGAGCTATGATTTTCTCTTAATTCTTTATAGAACTTTTTTAAAAAAAAAACCCAAACCACCGATGAACCTCGATTGAGGCTTTGTAGCGTTTTTCCTAGACTGTTCTGCTTAAAGCAGCTACTGCTTGTTTCATAGCAAAATGTTCCTGTTATACCAGAAACATAGAGTTTTGGCTGCAGACTCCCTGAATGTAGTGATCGTTGTTACTGGAGTTAAGATTTTACACCACCAAATCCACCTACAGCCTCTTTTTAGGAGGTATTCCACCATAAGCAGCCCCCGGCTCCTTGCTATGCTGCATTCATGCCTTTTGGTTGTGCTTTCCCTGTGTTCGTGCTTTGGCTATGGTACACATCTGACTTTAACCTAAGCAGTTTTTATCTGATCTGCTCTGGCTTTGATAATCTTATTCTCTTTCAGATCCCATTCGCTTTGAGGTGCAAGCCTGTGAAGGCACGTGCCATTTCTCTGTGTTGCTTCATTGACAAGCTTTTCCCTGGCAGAAGCACCTTCTTGAAAACTGTCAGGCCAGTACCTGCCTTGGGAAAACCTGTTGGTGTAATTTTGACAGTGAGGTCTCCTTCCAAACTGTCATCGGGTTAACCAAGACATTTATTGTAAACATTTTCAGTTGATATCCTACTAAAGGCCAGTTACAACAGGGGTGAGATCACATGCCTGCTTATAATACTGCTAGAGAGAGGTTACAGTAATAACCAAATTGCACATCACAGTTGCTGGTATGTTACAGAGAAACCAGAGGGTTCATGTACCATGTTTTAGATAGAAAGCATATTCCAGCAAGTAAGAAGAAATAAGACAGTAAGTGGCTGGATGGGGTCAGGCTCTGGAAAGATTTACTGGTGCAATTGTGTAACATGACTCCTGGTAAAAGGGCAGGTATATTGAAAGCCCCAGAGGCTCAGCAGTTTGTGGGCTGGTGGTGCTCAGCTAACAAAGAGTTTAAGAGTAGAAGTGGCAAGATCAGAGATAGATATGTGCACAGCGCCCAAGAAGTGCCTCCATCCATCTGAGCTGTGGTGGGGACTTCGGCATGATGTTAGGCAGTCTGGATCCAGGAACTAGCTTGGAAGCGGGGGAAGGTTCTAGATGCAGTTGTCTAGGCGAGACTGGGTTGTAGCAGCGGCACAGTTGATTTTTGGTTTTGTCTCTGGTCAGGAGAGGGAAGCTGCAACCTGCTCAATGAAGCTGGCCAAGTTGATGTCTCGCTCCGATAAGCCTCCACACTCATGGGTGCTCAAGGTGATGTGAACCTAAACCAGACAGACAGACCAACCAAGTGTTGCTGGCAGAAAAAGCCGGAATGGTTTTTCCCTAGTGCTGCAAACAGTTTGCATCTGATGAGGCAGGTAGCGCTATTACTTTCTGCAGGCTTGTTAGCAAAATTTCCTGGGGTGGGAGAGGTAGTCTGGCACTTTGCCTGGTTTTCTTCTTCCTACAGCTCATCCTGGCCACAAGCTGTCACTGGCACCCCTGCCTTGGTCACAGCACCTGCCTGTGCCCACTTTACAACTCACTCTGTCTTCAGAAACTTTTCCCCTTGCTGCTACTTCTGATACTGATTTAAAAAAATAACCCTGGTGCTGGCATCCAGGCAGCTACTGCTCAGCTGGACACGTAAAAAGAGGGGGAGGAAAGGATCTGTTAAGTGATAGCTGTTGGCTGTTTGTGATATGTGAAGGGAGTAGCATCTGAGGAAAGAGGTCCCACTGAACAGGTCTTGCTGCTGGTTTATGCCTCAAAAAAGGATATGCATCCTGCAGATCTCTTATTTGCCTCATCATCCCTGTTTCTTACCTTATTGTACACATTGAACCATTCGGGGTGGTGATCGAGTTTTTCTGCCTGTAGAGCCACTCTGGTCATGAAGCCAAAGGCCTATCCAGTGGAGCAAGAAGAAAAGTTACGTCTGAACCTGGCAATACATTGTTTTTCACCCCATTACTGTTAATTTTACACTGAACGTGTCTACGTAACCTAACCAAATGCAAGGCCTGGGATGTTCTGTATCTTTGTTGGTATTTTCTATAGATTTTCCTGTTTTGGGGAAGCTTTTCCCAGACAAATTTTGTGCTGGGTCGAGCCCTTTGGTTTCTTGGGCAGGTTATATTGCTCAGCCATTACATTTCAGGAGAAACATGGAGGGCTTTCTTTGACTGAGCCTTGCAGATGGAGCTCCCTGCTCTGCAAACCAAGTGTCCCACTTTGTGAAATCTCCATACAACTGATGCTCATACCCGGTTGAAGTCCTTGAAGTGGAACTCTTTGAAGATGGCGTCTCTGCCTTCCACCTCGTTCCACCCCACAGCTCTCAGGTTTGGCAGCAGCTGCTCCCTCTCCTCCGTGCTCAGCCTGTGGGCTTTTCCTGCCTGACACCACAAAAAGGAAAGGGAAGAGGAGAAGATCAGTGTGGCAAAGGTAGGATGAAGTGAATGTTCAAAGCAGCAAGGCATCCCATTGGTCATGGAGTTATGGGTCCATGGAGGCAACTGCAAGCTGGGTGGGAGGGTTAGAGTATCTGCATAGACCTGAACTGGGGGGTACTGATTATGAGGGATATCAGTGCTGTCCTCTGTTCCCTACTGTGGGTACCTAGGTCAAGGGCAGTCCAGCTTGCCACTTTTGTCCTCTGACCTGCAACACCTACCACTTTACCAGTATATATATATGGATTCATTATAACCTGAGGTACTAAGAAGTGATAGCTGTATAAGGTTAAGCTCCCAAATACATTACATCAAATTTTCTGGGAAAGAAAATCTGAAACTCTGTGATGACTTCAAGAACTAAGAGTGGCTTGAATTTGATGTTTGTGAAGTACCTTCTTAAAGCACAAGGGCTTTATTTGCAGGTCATCTGCACTGGAAGCTTGCTTTAGAGGAGAAAGAAGTGGTGTGAATCAGAGATGAGTCACACTAAATTGGAGTTCTGCTCCTTTTCCTTTTCAATCTCTCTTATATTATGATGGAGTTTAGGAGGCTGTTTCTGTCTATAAGTAACAAAGGGCAGAGGGAAGGATTGTGATTTAGCATTGTCTTCCGCTCTTAGGCAGAACTGCTGTTATTTGGGTTTTTTTTAAAGAGAAGGGGGGATGAGGAGAGTTCAGTTCTTGGTTTGGGGGAGTGAATATAGGCAAAGATGAAACTAAATTGGAATTCTTGGTGATGGGAGCTAACCGAGCCAGTGTATGTTCTGGCTCAGTAGGGAAGGATCAAGCGCAGAGGGCTGTTGCGCCACGTGAAAGGTTATGTTCTGACAATTAAAATGCTTTCCTAGTGGGTGATCTGATCTTTAAGTTGGTGAGGATTATTTTTTCTCAGTGACAAAAGCCAACATCTCTTTGCAATTTGTTTTCATTTACATGCTGTAGAGCAAAAGGTGGCAAGTCAGATATGAGTACCAACAAATAAAGAACACTTTCTGGTGGGTGTTTGGTCAGCAGCCCCTTGAGATGCTTGCTTGGGCATTGGTGCTCAGAAGTAGCATCTTAAGCAGCTGAGCAACTAAGGCAAATAGTCCTTTCCTATAGTATACCTACTCACAGGCCATACAAAACCAAAGAGTTGGCCATGGAGCTGATGTTTTTGTGGGTTGTTCTTTGGGTTTGCATGTTTTGAGGAAGACTGGAAAGATTATGCCCTATTCCAGTGTTACTGGATCTGTTAAGCCGTGGATTGGGCTGTGTGGGTGCCTACCTGTCTGCGTAGCTGTGACTCTTATACTTGGAGAAAGCTGTGAGCTGCAGAGCACTTCATGAAATGGAGAGTGCCAAGGTGTATGCTGAACCTTGGCTCAGGAGTGGCTGCAGGCGGGATGGTTCCTGTCCCCCTGGCATCGTAGCTGCATGCTCTCCCTCTTGCATGATGTTTGGGGAAAGCCTTCCTCACCTGTGCCTGCTCTGGCCTTGCTGGTAGCATTCAAACCACCCCATGCTGCCCTTCAGTTTCTGCAGTGTTGTAGATGGCCCCCTGTCAGCCCCAGATTCACCACCTCCCTGCTAATGTCAACCCCGTCCCTTCCTGAGCTCTGGGTTTGGAGGGAAGGTAGTGAGTAAACACAGATTAGTGCAATAAACTCTCAGCTGTTGTTGCCCTTCTGTGCTGATGGTGTGATAAGCCGGCGCAGGTAGCTTAGCAACTGGATAACGTGGGGACAGAGGCTGGCTCTGCATGGGGCCGCTGGCAGGGGGGCACCCGTGGAGGCTGCCCTGGGGGACTGGGATGGGAATGGGGTAGGGATCGTGCCAGGTTTTGAGACCAGAGGCTGAAACCTCCTGCTTGTGTATTGGTACTGAAGACAAGAAAGGCTATGTAAAGCCAGAGCTGTTGCTTGCCTGAAGTGGAGGAATATGGACGCAGGTGGCTGGGTTCCAAGCCAGCCTTCCCCAGACAGAGCAAGAAGCCAGGCTGCTTGGGAGGGACACGGCTTAATTGTTCTCTGAACCCTTTTCTGCGGTCATGACTAAGTGGGGGGAGGACTGGCCCTGGGGCTTTTTCCAGGCCCAGCTCCTCTCTGAGAGCCCAGCACCAGTGGGAGGCAAAGCCGAGCTGAGGTTTGGCCAACAGACCACACGAAAGCCAGCTCCTCTGGCTCTGTCTTCTGATGACAAACACTCTGCCTGGAGCACCCTCCATCCTGCTCCCTTCCCCAAAGAGGAACCCCCTCTTCTCCATCCCAGCACCCCATTGGCCAGCCTGCTGGTTTTATCGGTATAGCATTTAAATGCTTTCAGGTGCACTTACTCCTTTAAAACACACTATTCTCACTAAGGAAATTTAATTATTTTGTTTTCTTTTGCTGGCTCTCAACCGTCAATCCCAAATCATTGGGATTTTTTGTTTTGTTTTTTGCCAGCAGGAAACCAGTAGATGCATTGTGCAACTGAGGGAAAGGAACCAGCACTGGAAACTGGGAGAGCTTCAGACTTTCTAGAGATGAAACAACCCTTTCTGCCCAAACTAGTATCTTCCCTTCTAAGGCTGACTTGTCACATAGAAGAAGGTAAAGGGGGCAGCCCTGGTGTGAGCAGGAGCTGCAGGCAGGGCTGTAACGAAATATGCCGCAAGGCCCACTGTCTTTTGCTCCTATCCCACTGCTGTGAAAAAGCTGGTTTCCAGCTGTGCAGGGTGGGTTGGACGGGCAGTGCAGATGGAGCACATGTGGGGGTCGCACTGGCAAAGCTGCCTTGCTGACGGACCCTTTCCCTCCCCCTTGCGATGGAACCGAGCCTGGAGAGCGCTGGCTTCGGTCATTCAGCAGCAGCAGCCGGCTGTGTTACTTATTAACCGCAGCGCAGACCTCTGCTCCCTTCTCTCCCTTTCCTCCTGCCTCTTCTCAGAGACCGGAGTTGCTGCTCAAACCTTCCTGCCCTGTCCTTTGCCGCCGCCTGCAAAGCAACAGCCGGATTTCCCAGCAGCGACTCACCATCGCCTGTGGGTGTCCGTGGCCTCCGTCCCCGGTCCGGGCTGGGTGGTGCTCGCTGTACCGTAGCCCGGTGGTGCCG